TTAAGTAGTATTTCATCTTAAGAAAAAATTAGAAAATAACCTTACCTCCTTTGTTTTTTGCCTTTGATTGGAGGCAATTTTAAATCAGGAATTTTGTCATCACTGTCACTGTCAGAATTTGAATATAAGAGATTCATATAATCCTGATTGCCTGTTTTCAAAGTCTTGGTTTTTCCATTCATTGACATTTTTAGATCACTGCCGTCAATCTTGAAAAAATGTAACCAAAAAATTAAAAACTGACACTGTGGCTTACGAATAACTTAGACTATATATACAGTATTTAGTCCGAATAGCATTGAGTCTAAAGGGACCCGGGTCCGAATAGCGGCGCTTCATGTCCGGGTCCATTTGGACTAAATGTTATTCAGATGTCATAAGTTATAAACTAGTTAAACTGAAGAAGTAAGTTTACAAAAATATAGTCCATTCAATTATCTTTCATTTTATACCTAATTTAGTCTTACGAACCCTACAATAATTTTTTAATATTCTTAAATAAACCCAAACTCTCACTTCTCTGACCCTGATCCGAATAGCCGCAGCCAAAAAATACATCTTTGATAAAAATAATGGATCACAAGTTAAATGACGTTAACACAATAATTTGTAATTTCCCATAAATACCTATAGCCTTACTGTAAGGGTAAACCCAGCCCTCATCCCATCAAACTTTCTAATTTATATGTGAATTATGTGGATGGAATTTAATGAGTTGTGTTTTATAGTAAGTAACTTTTATAAGTACATTAAAGTTACTATAGCATCCTGAGATTAGGCCTACACACTAAAGGACAATAGGTATTTGCAATGATTAATTTTTGACCTAGAAGAATAATTAAATTGTTCTACTATTAATATATTACTATTAGCGTTAGACTATGTATATGGAGCCATTCATAATTAATTGACAGCAAGCAAAATTTGTACCAATTTATTTCCCCACGCCTCCTTTCATCACCAAAAAAAAAAAATACAACCCCCCTTCCCCTTTTTCGAATAGTACCCCCACTCCCACCGAAAATAAAAACACTAATGCTTCAGTTCACCTAAATAATGTTTCAAAATCCCTTTATTGTCTTTTCTTAATTATTTTAATCAGACTACTATCAAGCCGACATATAGCAATTTACGGTAAAGTATGAAAATGTAATAAATATAATTGATAATTGGTGTATAAATAAATTATTGTAAAAATACAGTAGAATAACTCATTTCAGGGAAAGTATGTGACCTCAAATTGCTTAAATCCCCTCCCCCTACTCACAAAAATGAGACCACCCCACTCCCTTATCAAAATGTCACAACATTTACGAATGGCCCCTCCTATAAAAATATATAATTTATTCCTTCCTATGCCTATACTATAAACTATAAAATACAAGTATTCAAGTAAGTATCCACCAGATCCAGATCCTATTTTATTTATTATTTAGTATAAAAGTACTAAATTAAGTCCAAGTAGCTAAGTCAAGTAAGCCGATCATTATCAATAATCAATTTTGATCACAGAAAGAATTAAAATGTCTTCTCTGTGATTTATGATGACCAGTTGAGCAGAGGCCAGAGACAGAAGCTACTACAGTCTGCCTACGACCACGGCTACTCGTAGTCGTGGTAGGGTATAAGTATAATAGTGTGTGGGACAAAAGCCTAAAATTACTAAAAGAATAATAATTTTACTTGTTGGTAACTTAATTAATTAATAAGAAAACAGCATAGCCTACTTCATAAGTATTATATTATTTCTAAGATTTATCTAAAACAAATGTGAACGTTTCACAATACAAGTTGAAATCACATCCTATAATTCTTATTTTACAACTACAAGCAACAATAGACTAGTAAAGTTAGAAAGTTGTAAGTGCATGGGAGTGTATAAAGATGCAGCTTTTAATAACTTTTTATTTGCAAATTTCTAAAATAGTCATATATCTTTGAAGCTAAAAAAAATATTTAACAAAATAAAAAATATTTTTTGCAATAATTTAATTTAGAATTAAGCTTTACAAAGAAACCCAAAACAATATCAAGTATAAATAATGACTTCTCACAACGTCGATACAAGGGAGATGACTCATACTTACAAATAACATGAATTCTCCTTTGGTGACAGACCTTTCCTCTTTTAAAAATAAAAATAAAATATATATATATAAACTTAATTTTAAGCAGTTTAATCATCCACTCTCCACAAAAGTTGTGGTGTTTATTTAAAATTAAAATTAAATGTAACGAACATTCTCCCCCCACCCCAGACATTATTGTTTTTCCTTGTTAAAAATAACAATGTCTCTATAGTCTCTAGCGTTTTCGTTTATGCAAGCAGCAAAGCCAAAGTATAACTTTACAGTCACTTCAAGACTTCGGCTATTTATATTTTATATTATCAAAAGCTTTACCAATCTATCTATATATATAATTCGCCAGCTAAGGTCAAACACCACCACCACGCAGGCTATATATAGATACGCCAGAGTGTGGTTAAATTTTGAGTTCACTAGCGCGCAAAATAATAATTCCCGACAACTACGCTAAATGATTATTTTTATTTTTTTTAAAAACGCAATTGCGTTTGGTGCGTAATATTTTCTTTTCGGAAATGAAATCGTCTCAATTATTATATAATATTCGTTTTAAAAGTTGTACGGACATGAGAATGTTAATATAGTTCATGGGCGTGAAATAAAATGTGTGCAGACGTGAAGCGATGTCACTTGTGGAATATGCTATTGATTGAAAGGGGCCCTTTAAAATCAGACCAATCTGAAATTTCAGTAGAGAGAAGATTAAGGTGTAAAAAGGAGAACAATTAATGCATGCTGGACTCACTCTGCGAGAAGAAAACAGTGTAAAGATGCTTGAGTGTATTGAATGCTTTTATTTTGAACTCCAGATCAGATCATCTGCGATCAAGGAAGTAGCAGATATGTTTGGGACTGATCAACCCAAGAGTTTACTATCAGCAAGTGGAGAAGAGTTATTGGTGACCGTTAAAAAATTAACATCTTTCTATGTTGAATTACCAGAAGATGAACTTTTAAAGGAAATACCAAGATTTAGAATCACCTACTAAGGCAGCTGATATTGGATTTCACAAACTCATGGACTGGTCAGTGTTGGATGTTTTGACAATAATAACTGAATTTGACTTCCTAGAACAGTGGTTCTTAACCTTTTTAGTGCCGCGACACTTTTATACAGTTTCTCGTGTCGTGGCGACCCCCAGCCACACAATTATTTTCGTTGCTACGTCATAGCTGTAAGGATATGTGTTTTCAGGTGGTCTTAGGGGACTCCTGGGAAATGATCCCGCGGCCCCCCAAAGGGGTCGCGACCCACAGGTTGAGAACCGCTGTCCTAGAATCTCTTCCAATACTCTCGCTAAGCCTTCAATATTTTTATACGATCTGTGTGCCTGTGGCTTCATAAGAATATTATCAAGAACTTTTAAAATTTTCGATCCACAGTCAAGGTTTTCTGATCTGGCTCTACCATCAATTGAAAGCAATACGGTGAAGGATATTGATTTTGAACAAGTGATTGACAGGTTTTCAGATTTGAAGACCAGGAAAGGAATTTTTTAATAAAGTAAATTTAATGTAAAAATAACTATAACACAACGTTGTTACAGTTCTTAAATAGGCCTACATTAAATTTACCTCCTGAGCTTTAATTTATTTTAATTTTTTGTCATTGTTAGACACAGGGGACATTTTTTTTTTTACAAGAAGAAATCCGTGGGGGGGGGGCTTGCTTTTCGTGGTTGTGGGAGTGTAATATTTAAGGAGGCCACTTTAATTTATTTTAATTTTTTGTCATTGTTAGACACAGGGGACATTTTTTTTTTTACAAGAAGAAATCCGTGGGGGGGGGGGGGCTGGATGTGGGGCACCATGAGTTTACCGCACCGGGTGTCACCAACCCTTGCTACGCCAATGTCTAGGCTATAAAGCCTCCACAATTTATTTTTTCATGAACTCGACTGCTTTGTGGCCTTTTGACGGGCACTTGTCTTTATGATGAATGTTTTGATTGAAATTTCACTCAGCCAATTTTCATTTAGCATGTTGCTTTTCAGCCGATTGGCGAAAAAAATCTTGTGATAAAGTATAAAGTCTTCACTTTTGCTTGCTTGGCGTGACCGCTTAATGTAATTCGAAAATGTTCAGTAGTTTGAATTTGCAGATTCGTCGGGAGTTTCATACTCAAACTTGTTCACACACATTCAGCAATGTCAGCTGTAAATTTAGAATGAAGCGCACTTTACAGAGGGGCTAAGTGGCCACCATGACCATGTTCAATTTTTACTTTGATGATATGAAAGTGAAATTATAGCTTAATTAATTTCTGAATAGGTAAATCGATCCAGCTATGGCTATGGCTATGTACCAAGTTATTATGTATTCATTTTTGTGGGATGGTTTCTTGCTTTTATTCCCTGCGCTCTCTAACTCTAGATGTTTTTGTTTTTTTATATAAATAATCTAGTATTTTTATGCTTATTAGTAAGCCTACATGACATAGAAATTTCATAAAAAGATTTATTTTTTCTGTAAAATTTGGATTAAGTCAAACTCCGTATTTGGTAACCTAGAAAGGTGTGGATGGAATCCTCATCCACTTTGCGCCACCTATTTGGCCCCACCCCAATTTTTTTTAAAATAATCCACTACCCCTGGCCCCCCCCCCCCCCCCCCCCCCCCACACACACACACACACTCATTCTCATACACACACTCATACACAAATTGTTTAAAATTATCACCGCAAATCCTGCATCAATTTTACGTAGATTTTTATTCAAGACATTAACTGAAATTCGATTCATCAAAGTGTAACAAAACGTATCCGGAAATTTGATCGAAAGAAATTTCGTCGATGGTAAATTGATCGACGGTAATGTGATCGAACGGAAATTGGGTCGAAATCGAAACTATTTTTCTGTTTTTATGTTAAAATTTTGCTTCAAATTTCTTTTTGAACGCATTAATATGATTATTTTGTTTTACTATATAGTAGAGTGCGTTCAAAAAGAAATTTGACGAAAATTTTAACGTGTGAACTGAAAAAACGATTCGACCAAATTTCCGTTCAATCAAATTTCCGTCGCTCAATTTACCGTCGACGAAATTTCTTTCGATGAAATTTCTGGTATGTCATTATGATCAAATTTACATTTTTAAAATACGGAGCATGTAAAATTTGGAATTGTGTCATCGAAACAAATCATATAACAGAGTGACCTTCGCCTTCATATTTTTCTGAATTTAGGCTCAGGATTAGTGGACACTACCAATATTATCGTAAGTTTCCTAAAAAATAAAGCTAACATATTGATAGATATCCGCTCGAAAGTAATCATAATATTACCTTTAAAACCTATGGGCATCGAGTTTATTAATATAGATTTATAGGGCCTAATATTATAATTTAAATTTAATATTTGTCGGATAATCCTACACTATACTCACTATACTAGTCCTAGTCAGAAGTCATAGTTCAATTAGTACAGGACAGAATTTAACTATAGTATAGTCATAGTCATAGTGTATAGTACTAGTACCTATACACTATACACTGTCATATAACTATACTATAGTTTAAACTATATTATACTATACTCTATAGTATACTCTAATATCCAGGCATAAGTAAATTAAACTAATATATATATATATTTAATATATATATATATATATATATATATATTGTTATAGAGAGCTTGTTTACATCATATTTCTCATGCGTGCCCTCTGATTGACCCCGCATGAGACGCTGTGTTCACAAAGGGGTGTGGCTTAGGTCTTTGATGAATTCTTGTTTACGCCGCCAACGAATAAAAATAATTAATCTGTTCCAAATAGTATTTGGTAGAATGATTAGGATTTTTCTCGAAATGTCATGTAGCTTGTAGAAGGCAGGGCTTAGGCGTCGGTAGACCCACCTATATAAGGGATTGACAGGCACGACGAGAGGGAGACGGAGATTTTCATATAGATTCTCTTAACATTACGAGGCGTGTTTTATTCTTTGTGTATTTGTGTGCTCCTACTTATATGTGTTTATTTCGCATTATTTATTGGCATCATTATTTCTAATTGTATTAACTGTGTACCGGTACGAGATCCACCATACTGTAAGTTGAAGATTGTAATTTTATTTTATTTTATTTTATTTTGTAATTATCTTTAGACATAATAAATCTTATTAATTGTAACTAGAAACTGTTTTGGGTCGTATCTTTAATATTGTTGATTCTGTGGTATCGTCCTTTGTTAGGCACTGATTACAACGAGCCAATAATTAATTGTAACTAGAAACTGTTTTGGGTCGTATCTTTAATATTGTTGATTCTGTGGTATCGTCCTTTGTTAGGCACTGATTACAACGAGCCAATTAAAATTAAAATAGGAGATTAATTTCTCCCAACACAAGTCAGTGCGTAACAATATATATATATATATATAAATTATTATCACAACAATATTATTTTCAAAAGAACGCCTCACAGACAGAAGAGTTCTTAGAGATGATGTAAATACAAATAATTCTTTAGTTTTAAAATGATTAAAATTTCCTGCTTTGAAATTTCCTGGTTTTAAAATTTTAACATTTTAAAATACCTAGTTTGAAATTTTTGTAAAATAGTCACCTTTACAACTGATCACTACTCATATCACAGTGTAAATTTTTCTCTAGACTCTAGCCTCTGAAACTGCAGGGATCTAATAAGTAATGACTACGGTACCCTGTAGTTATGTCAATGTAGTTGTGTTTTCTAGACCAGCAAACCGAAATGCTGGTCAATGGACCGGCACCGGTCCACAAGGTCCAGAAACCTTGCGTTCCCGGTCCGCATAACATGATTATTTAAGATCAAATAAAAAGAAAATATAATTGATAAATTTGTCACTTAGTCTCTGGTGCAATTTCTAAACTTTTCCAATGGTCCTTGAACCTAAAATTTTCGGAAACGCTGTTCTAGACAACTCTAGACTTAGGATAGTATTACAGTATTGCATTATTATTTATTAGCAGTGTCGTAGCTAGGATCAGTGCCAGCCTGGGCAGGCCAAGATATTTTTTGTAAAAACTTTTTGAAAGTATTCATACCTTTGCTATGCTGTATTTTGTTGAATGTACATAATACAATTAAATGATATCCCCTTAAATTTGCTATACTTACTTATTTTTTAACATTTTGATTGCAGGAAAAATGTCACTACCTATTATTTATACACCAATTACAAAATTACAAGCGAGTATTGAAGGGCCTCAGGGTGGACCATGTGGACATTTTCATATGGATTTTTTTAGGTGTGCCAGTCGAGTAGGGATGGCCAGAGCAAGATATGACTGCAAAAAGGAATTGGCAGATTTCCATGAATGTTTTTATAAGGACAAACAGGTATTTTATTAATTTTTAAAAGTGATTTCTTTTGCTGTTATTTGTATCAGTTTATTAGATTTTTTGTTGTTGTTAAATTGTCTTTCTACCTATTTCTACCTATTTACCTATTTCAGTGTTCATATTATTAAATTAAAAACAATAAACTCTAATGAATTTTTGCTAGATTTCTTTACCAGTGGAACTAATATGATTAATAAGTGATTTTGTAATAGCCTATGACATGATCAACACGATAGTTAGGGTTAATGGGCTAGAGTAAAATAAAATGTTGTGATTAAATTGCACTCAATGTCAGTGTGCATGCACCAAAATATTATCCCTTGATTTCACTTATAAAAAAAAATAATTTGCAACTTTCAGTTCTTAGCTAAAATATTTTCATTTGAAAAATTGAATGTCAAACTTTTATCACTTTAAAGTGAGTTACAATTTATAAGCATTGTTCTTCTTCTTATGCCTTTTTACCCCGTCTGGGGCATAGGCTGTCCACAAGAATTTTCCATTCATCATGGTGCTATGCTTTCCTTTCTAGTTGCTTCCAGGTGTGTCCCATAATGTGCATGTCTGCCTCTAGCTTGTGTCTCCATCTATTCTTTGGCCTTCCTCTCTTTCTTTTTCCTTGTAGATTCCATGTTAAGGATTGTGTGGGTATGCTATCTGGATGTTTTCGGAAAGCTTGCCCATTGTTCGGTTCAATTTAAATTCAATAATTAAGTTAAGATTTGTTATTTGAATTCTTTCAGCTTGAGCGGGTAAGGTTAATGGATAAAGAGAGAAAAAGACAAGGCAGGCCTCACCTGACACCACTGGGTAAAGATATTCCTGATGTGGGCTACTGAATTCAGTGACACCAATTTATATCTGAGCTGTACATATAGTACGAAAGTGTGATTACACACTGTGTGTAAAATGGTATACCAGATAAGGACACCAGTTAAAAAAGTTAATTTGATCATTAAAATATAGTTAAATTTTAAACCAGTGGAATGACTATCTTATATTTTGTGTCATCAATTTTTGTCATAGGAAATATTTTGTTCCAATCTGAATCAGTGTGTAAAGTGGGCATTCGGATTATTATTGTTATTATTTGAGCTTTGAAGTGAACTCTATGGTACATAACCATTTTTCTTTTCTAAAATATTTTTGTCTTCAATTTTTACATCTAAAAAATGTAGGCTGGTTCATGTTGAAATGGGTTACTCAGCTCTTATGACATGTTTGACACCACCTTATTTCACAACCACAACAAAAGTACTCTTTAAAAAAATATACTTTCAAAATCCTTACGAAATAAAGCTTAAATGTTTTTAAACATTATGTGCGTTTAATGAATATGGAATAACTAAAAGTTATTGTGTATAGAGTTTTTATAAGTAATTTAAATTATGCAATAATAATTATGTATTATGTTAGCCACCAAAATGTTTGTGGAACCGCTAAATATGGATATTTCTGATCTGGAGTAGCTGATTCTCTCACAAACTGCTACTATCTACATCAGGGGACACCAAACTTTTTTCACGGTGGGCTGGTTAATGAAAAAAATGACGAGCGCGGGCCGGATAATCATTCTGTATAATACTTGCAGGCAAGAGAGAAAACTCTGGGGAAAAAAGATGAAAAACTAAGTTTATTACCGGTATTCCATGTTAATCATGGGTGAATGGCGTGCAATGCAAAAAAGCAAAGACAACCAACATTTTTATTTACCGATACTATAAATAAAAGTTATCAAAGAAGGCGACGTTGGCAAAAGATAGTTACATCTACCTAGTGCGCACATATTGGAATCACACAAACTAAGCAGAAAAAACGGTTCGTCGGATTTGTGAAACTGTCGTTTGGCTTTCAAGATACCATCAATGTTTGGTTTGGAATTGCTGCATCCAATCAAAATATTGTTTTTTTTAAATGTTCATCAATCCATCTCGTTTGATGAGTTGACTTCATATACTTTTTTTTTGAAAATGTTTACTCACAGATATAAGTTGTTCCATGCATGCTGCTAAGGGATGTCAACTCTTCCGTTATCTGAAAGTCCAATTTGACACCACAAATAAACACAAGAAGTTGTGAGAGATCAGTAGGCTTATCCCATACCAGAGAATACCACAACAGGCTCCTAGCTTTCTCATGTATCTGTAGCGCTATGTTCTCTCCAAGTTCTTCTATTCTTTGAAAAACTGAACTTGCCGAAAGGCTGTTAGTTCCAACCGTGGCGATTACGAATTTTAATGTCCCCATATGTTTCCATCACTCCACTTCCTTTCACCCATTCACAGTTTGTGGTAGTTATCAGACTATAATATATTCGAGGGAATATGTTTAATGAAATTTGATTCTTTTTTTTATAATTTTTTGAAAACCAGTTTTTCCTAAAAACAACAACCTCAAGTTACTTGGTAGGTTTTTTTAAATGATGTCATCATTTTTCTTATTTAAATGCATCTTGTTTTATGCTGATCTGAGTTCAAGTTTGAACCACGTTAAATTTCACCAGTAACTTTATTTTTACCAGTGATAGACTGGGATAATGTGATCTGTACATCCACTCAATATAAATTAATATCAATAGCAAATACACGTCTGCAAAACAAAGTGACCGCAGATTTTATTTAAAACGTCGGTCATCTACTTTTAGTATTTAACTTTTTTGATGCCGGTTTAACTTGATCCCACTAGGCACTGCGATGCAAATAGTTATTGTATTCATTATACATACTGTATTTTATTATTTACTATTAAGTGTTAAGATACGGTATTGTATGATTTTAGGAGTTCAAGAGTAAACGGGTCTGTAATAAACAAGAAAATCTAGATGCAATAATTTAAAATTGAAAATGGTAAATTAAGGCGCATAGCAGCCAGGAGGTCTTCGCACGTGTGAAGATCTCCTAGTATTCTAAACATAATATTTAAATTATTTTCCATACGTTTTATCAAGCAAGTTTAAGTACCATCTGCAGGCCAGATGAACTGGGCCCGTGGGCCGTAGTATAATGACCCCTGATTTACATCATAACGACATTTAACAGTCAACGTAAACTCATTGTGTTCAGTTCTTAGCCACAACAGGTCCATAGGCTAATAAGCACTGCTACTTAACACTTAAGTTACATTTAATCTCAGAGTGGACCATTCTTAAAAACAGTGAAAAACTCTCATCAAAACTTTCCCTAGACTGATCTTGTTGTATAATAATCATACACACAATGCTTTCAAATTCATGTATAATCTAACAACTAAAAAGTTAATGGCATAATAAAACCAATATACACAACCAATATTCCCTCTAAGGTTTGTTGACTCGTGTGCAAAATCATAAAGTTGTGAGCAAAGTTTTACAGCATCAATTTTTTGTGTGAAAAATTTTACAGCCCACAAACACAAACTTACATGGAAATTAGCTGCGCTGATACTCAAAACTGCTGCGCTGCATCTGTGAGATAGCTGCGCAGCTTAAAGGGAACATTGTACACAACCACAGAATCAGGTGTACTTGATATTAAAGGAGATGGCTGATCAGGTCTCAAAACCCTGTTTAAATTTCATCATTTTCTTTAAAAAATATAATTTATCTATGATGTCATGAAGGATTAAAAATAAATGTGATTAATTTCAAAAATATTTTTACAAATAACATTGATATTTGCTACCCTTTTTTAATAATTATTAAAAAGTGAATATTAATATTTTTATAAGATATCTAAAAAATTTGAGAGAGAAGTCTTTCAATTTCCTGTCAGGATGATGGTGTTAAGGTGGTCCATGAGACAAAAAAAATGCTCTATTAGTTCTATGTTTCTTAAATTGAAAAAGAAATTTGTTTAGTACTTACTAACTAGTCTATATACCAATAGAAAGAAAAAACAAACTGTAGTTTATTTAACCCTTTCTACCACAACATATTGTATACCCTGTCCCTAGTGACTGTAAGTAGCACACTCGTACACTAATTATAATGAGAACAAGTGTTTCTGGTGATTCCTGCTGACTGGGTGGGTTACACTCATAGTCTTATATCATAGTAAATGGCTTATGTTATTGTCTTTTTTAAAATTTTGCATGATTTAGTTTTTGCATGTGTAAATGTGACTGTTACGGTTTAAAATTGAAATGGTTTTTCAATTTGAATACATGTTGATATTGTTGGTCCCCAAATACATTCAGAACATTTATTTATTGTCAAAATTTAAAATCTATTTTCTGGATTATACAGACTCAAATAATCAACAAACGTAAACCAAAACAAAATGTTCACAAGCCAGTTTAGACGCTTTTTTTCACTATTAACCTATGCACGGGTGTGTTACACCACGACCTACGAGAACTCGAGGCCTGAGCACAGGCTGTGCAAATTTACGTGATGTCACGACAGGGAGGCTATCGTGTAGAATGCCAGTTATCAATTGTAGTGTTTGGCCTTGAGGACACTAGTTTTTTTTTAATGGTTTTCTTGTTATGCATATTTTGAATTCATTGTTATTTCGTCAAAAATAGTGTAACCGTGCGCTGTTGTTAAAATTCTAAACATTGGAAATGGTGCATAAATGTTGTGTCCCATTTTGCAAGGGAAATTACAAGGGAGCTCACATTTTTTCGATTTCCGAAAGATGGCAACTTGAAACAAAGATAGATAGCAGCGATACCTAGGAAAGATTTCGAACCAACAGAATATTCTAGAGTAAGTGTTGGTCAACTCATATTGCATGTTGTTTTAGTTTTAGAAAGGCCTTTAGACATGTTATTTAATTTAATGCAATATATTTTATAATATAGGCCTTACTAACTCAATTATTTGAGGAAGCCACTTCACAGGCACCTTACTAAGACTAAGAAGTGCTAATAACTAAGTCGAAGCATCAGTATAGTATGTATACATAGATAGTATATCATCTGATTGTATCAGTGTCATGATGCACTGTGCGTCTGTATCTATATGACATAACCAAATTTATAGTAATAGTATAATTTAAGATTACATTCATTTACAAATAGGCTAGCCTTAATCTTTAACACGAATTGCAGAAACACAACAATGTAAAGCCCATTTATGATTTAAATTAAAAATATATTTAAGGCCTAATCATTGATGAGGCTGATTAAAATTATTCATTTTAGGTTTATTATTAAGTCTGTAAATACTATAATTAAACTTTCATCTTTTCAGATTTGCCATAAACATTTCACAGATGATGAGGATTTTATAGACAGAGTCCAAATTTGACCTGAAGTCTGGAAATTAAATTACTGCTTCATTGACCAGGGCGCAGTTAAAAGAAGTTACAGTTCCTTCAATATTCATAGGGTGCCCCCGCTACTATTCTGTGCCTAACAAATCATTTGAGTGTCCTGCTGAAAAGAAGAAGAAATTAGAGAGTGAAAGCGTTCAAGCTGCAACGCAGGAAAGTTTAAAAACTAATGAGTATAAAGAAAAAATAAAATATCAGATTTTAGTGAATGTTTAAATAAAATTAAAAGTATGAACATTTCGTCGCTTTGGGATGTATTGTACAGAAGTTAATGCGTGTTTTTTTATTAATTCGAAAGGTGATGGGCCCCCTGAAATAATATATACTATTTTTATTGACAACTGCCTTGATGAACTTAAAGTATTTTTTAAACAAACTTAAATCTCTGTCATAGACAACAAGCCATTGCCAAAAATGTTTCATACATTTATAAATTTCCCATTTTTTAGATTTTATAGAAAAATCATGTAATAATAGTTACCAAAAAGAAAACGTTGATGTTATAAAAGAAGCCATGGGTAATTAAATAGCAAGTGATAGTGAAAAGAAATTTGTTATACTTTTTCTTATCTCAGATGGATCTCATACATACTAAGAAGAATAGATTGAACTCTAGTAGTGATCTTTTCTTGTTTTCATCATTATTTTATTTATTATCTCCTCAAGCTTACAAATATGTTAGAAATTCAGGCAATATAATGTTACCACATCAAAGTACCATAAGAAGAGTTTGTAATTCATTTAAACTTGGGCCGGAATTAGAACAGAAAGGGGAGGTTTTTTTTGTTTTATGTAGGACAGCATTTGAATGGACTAAAGGAAAATTAAAAGACTGATTTTGATGCAAGATGAAATGCATCTAAACAATTTATTGATTATAAGGGTGGTTATATAGTGGGAACTAATAATAATACTGCACAATTGGCATCAACAGCTCATGTATTTATGATTCAAAGTTTACTATCTTCTTAAAATTAAAAAGATTATTTAGATATTTTACCTGTCAGTTCAATAACGTCAGAAGAGTTACATTATATAATTAAGAAAATCATTATTGGGTTAAGGGGCCATCCATAAATGACGTCGCGCAAATTTTGCCGATTTTTGACCCCCTCCCCTTCCCCATCGTCACAAAAAGTTAGCCCCCCCCCCCCCCCCCAAATATAACGTCACAAATCTCTGCACCCCACACCCCCTATAAAAAGTCCTTGTGTCCATTATTGTCCTTTCACAAACCCGCCTTAAGAAATTCGCCTCCCATGGATATCAAATTACTGCACCCGTGACAGAAACATTTCACTAGATCAGTGGTTCTTAACCTTGGGTACAAGTACCTCCCCAACCTTGAGGTGTGGAAGACCAAACATTTGTATTCTGTGGCGTAGCTTGAAGGGTGCGGACCGCACCGGTCGACACCATCTCAGGGGGTAACACCAAATTGAAAAACAATGTAATTATAGAGCACACACTGATTGGTCGAACCGAAATTCATAAAAGGATAACAGGTGACACGTTCATTTTCCACCCGTGCAACCAATCAAAATGCGTGTTTCGTTAATATTAAAATGTCAAGGTTGATGCCAAGGCAATTAGATGACCATATGATTAGGTCAGAAACGCACCGTTGTGATCATGTTTCAACGCCGAATGAAGTGTTCGGTAACTTACTTTCGTAAGCGACAAGAAGCTATAGTTATCTAAATTCTGAGAGACAGAGCTATCCTTTGACAACAATGGGCGATTCTAAGTACAATTCACCTCCTGATCTTCATTTAATTTTTGTTTGTTCTTGTATTTTTTATACTGTGGACTAAGTTTAACAAGAAGAAATACATCGTGAAAGAAAAAAAAGGGGGGGGGGTGACACCACGAGATTACCGGACCGGGTGCTAATGTGCTAGCTATGTCACTGATTGTATTTGATGCCATTGCCAGTTGTTGCTGCTTTCATTTTTTTTTTTTAATGCAAGTTTTATGAATTTTGATTAGCAGCTGTCAGTGCTGAATTTCATTGGCGCATTGCGAATATTAGTAATTTTTTGCCCTGTTTATAAAAGTTAATTAAAGAAATAAAACTACAATAACAAAATTTTTTTATTTTTTTAAATTTTATTACAGTTTTATTTTTACCGCTTGGGGGGGGGGGGGTGTATAAAACGGAAAAGTTAAGAATCCTTGCCCTAGACTAGAGCATTTACTAAGATAACCCCCACCCAGCGGTCAACTTTTTTTTCCCGCTCCACCACACTTCTCCTGTCCAGATTTAGCCATAAATTCTCACGACTGTCATTGTAACTACATTCCGATTCTCCACTACTGGGCATCCCGTAACTTGATCTGAGGCCATTCTTCGGACCTCGCATTCCTACTGTACTATTTCTATCAGCCTCAGTGATAGTAGTTTTAAAATAAAATATCTATGATTGTTTTGTTTTTTAAATAATGTTAAAAATGTCTGTAATTTAGTGTTATTAAGTTAAATTCTTTACTACAACATTCCGCTTTTCGTGTGAGTCATATGGCCTGAGACCCCCCCCCCTCCCCCTCGTCACAAAAACCTGCCCCCCCCCCCCCAGACGCGTGACGTCATTTATTGATAATGGATGGCCCCTAAAGCATATTGGTTTAAATGTGATTTGTATAGTAACAGATAATAATGCCATTAATTTTAATAGAAAGACAATGTCTCTTATTTTTATGACTCTTGCTAAATTAAGTACGGTATTGTTTATCCACATCCATTTGACATGCCACACCCCATATTTTTTGTCATTGATCCAGTTCATATTTTCAAATGTGTAAGAAATAACTGGCTGAATCACTCAATCAGAAGAATAACAGCATTTCTTTTTACTTCCCAGGCTTAGGTGCACATGACACTAATCATGTTGCTTCATTGGTAACATTAAGAACATTGAATGAATTGGAGTCTGATATGGATATGGTTTGTCAATGAAGGCTCTTTGGCCAACAAACATGGAAAGGCAAAATGTCAAGTTTGTCATGCAAATTTTTTCAGATTATATCATAGAGGCTTTGAGAGAGCTTGGTCCCAATAATAACATAATGCATGATTATGATGGGACAGCCCATTTTATAGATGTAATAAATAATATTAAAATGGTGAAAAAATTTTAATGTTAAATCTCCTGTTGTAGGTCTTAGACGTAACAATAGTAACAACAATTTTAAACAACAATTTTAAAAAACCATTAGAAATGATGTGAATGACATGAATATTTTTATTTTAAATAACTTCTTTAAATGGCTTGATGCTTAGCATAATTTGAGTCTCAATGTTGGTTGTTTAACCAGGGAGAC